GTTTGAGAAGGTAAAGTCGAATAAATAACCGATAAAGAATCGATTAAGAATAGTCCTACGAACTATTATTAACATAAAGCAAGTTTTCGCAAACAAAAAAGTCAAACTTTTCAGAATCCTTCAAGTAACGTGCCTTAATTATATAAATTGGCTCAGTGATTCCTTCTGACATGATGTAATGAAAATAAATTATTCTTTCGAGCTCTTGATATATCAAGCTATTTTTTAAAGTTTTCTGATGACAATGGTGTCCAAACGGATTATCATCCATTCGTTGTAATATCGCATGCATATGTTAAGGCGAGATTGGTATATTGCATATGGTATTCGTTGAAAACGAAAAGACATGTGCCTTTTATTGCATAAGGCTGTCTGCCGTGCGCTGAATGAGCAAGGAATCCATCGAGAAAGAATTCATTTTAGTCCTATGAAGAAAGGGCATAAGCTGCAGCAGAAAGATTCGGCTGTTTGAAGATCCGGTTGTAATCGAGATTTCTAACGGAGTTCATCAAGCAGATGCGGATAAAGATAAGATAAGATAAGGAGATTTGGTAAGGACATCGTGCTATTGAGAACGAAGGTAAAATAGTCGAAGCGCATGTCATGTGAACTAGAATTACGGAGCGAGCAGGTATGATTTCGGATGAGCAGGATAGAGATATAGTGATGAGAAACTAATTCGTACAACTATGTTCAGCTGCCACCAATGATGGCCAAACAGAAGTCACCATGTACATCTATTTATCACGGCTAATCGCGTCAGATCTCTACCAGAGCTGCTAGAAGGCGTTGCGCGGCGTGCAGTACATGCAGAAGAAACGCTGACATCCTTGAAAACAGAAGGTTATCGATTGCGGTTGGATTAACAGTGTATAAAAGAACTGATCGCCAACTGCGGCATATTGTTGCCCTGGGCATTAACAAAAAAGGATGGATAACTGCGAAGAAGAGAGAAGCTCTTGCTGATGGAAAATAGACTCCTAGGAGTTTCCATCAAGGACGAACTGCGAAATGAAGAGATGAGACGACGCACTGGAATGCAGGAGGTTTGCATCAGATTCACGCGGATAGGCAGGTCATCGAAAGGAAACGTCTAACAGGTGGCATACGCACTTTAAGGATGACAAGTTGGCAACTCGAAGGTCTGCAAGAGTCCGACAGGAACACCTCTGCTGAGTTGGAACGATATGAAATAGAAACAGAAAAAAGATACAGAGATTGACATGGAAGCTTGTAGCAAGAGTCGCACAAGAGGGACGAGCATGAGTATCGACACCAGAAGAAGAATCAGTCAGAAATAGGATTAGCATCAACGTCCATTTATTGTTTACCTGATGAATTTACGCAGTGTTGCATAAGACCTCACATTAAGCGTAACGTCATGCCTGTGTCTCATGCCACGGATCGAGGAGATTGAATTGAATTAATAATCGAAAAAGAATGATTGAGAAGAATTCGAATGAGTGCTTATTAACATAGGACCGTGGTTTTCGATATTTTCATAATTCACTCATAATGGCATAAAAGTAATAAGCACAAGATGCTTTGTTCTTTTCCAGGATATGAACAAATCAAAATATAGAGCTGTTTGTTGATAGGACGAATGGTGCATGGATATGGCTGTGCTGAAAGGAACTGCACCACTAACATATTTAACCGGATGGGAAATTATGTGGTTGGGTATCATGTGTGAGCGTTGATGCTGAAGTTACGCAAGAAGGTTTTTACGGCATCTGGCCGACAATTAGGCTCGTGATCAACGAATTGACTGATTTTGAGCATGATTGATCGCCTAATCAGGACAGTATCGGTTTTGAGAAACATCAGCTGGAAGTTCAGATTTCACTTTGACGGAGTAGTAGTAGCAGCGTCTGTGTTGCGTCGTTTTTCCTCCTGATGACGCGAGGAGGAGAATCGATGCCGCACAGAGGTCCAACCACGAGTAGACTCTTTAACCTCTTTTCGTCGTCGAACGGAGCAACCGACGACTGCCAGAACGGACGGCACCGGACATCGGCCTCTGATGTTCGATTACGAGCCTCACCGAAACTAATTGCTCTTCCTCTACTCCCTGTTTTTCCTCTACCTATGAAAATTGGTTACGGCCTGTAGCAAGTGACACGTATGCGGCAAAAGCGCTCCGCGCTCTGGGCCTCTGTTGGCGGCGATGGTTGATCGCGTTTGGCCAGTGACACGAAAGTGACAAAGCGAATCGCCGATCGCATTCGTCGGTTCTGCTGGCGTTTAGACTCGAAGATCAAGCAGGTCTTGATACATCGTGACTTGTTCAAGGAGCAAGAAATCCGACCAGTGCACGCTTCGACGGTCTGCACTCGTTTAAAAGCAGTCAGCGGGCGAAATCCACTGCAAGGCCATTGGCCGTCGAGAACGGAAGAGAAGACAAACCTCGCCGAACTCGGCAGTGTTCTGAAGGAGCTCGCCGATGAGGGAAAACGAATCATCGTTTGCATCTCTGGTATCGTCGTCATCGTACGAGCGGTGGTCGGCAGCGTGAGACGAGGCAAGACGGCGGTGGTGGCACTGTTCCGGAGAGATGATCATCGATTCGGTTGGTACGGATAGATGAACTGTTCCGTCCGGGAGAAAAGCACCACGCTGACCACGAATCGTCGTCTAAACGGATATCTAGGTGACCAAGACTGCAAAGCAGCAGCAGCTCGAGACCTGCCGTTTGAAACGAGCCCATAGAGACTCGATTTGAACAACCCTGAAAGTGCCTTATGACCGCAAAGCAAGGTGTTGATTCGTGACTGACCACTGATCGACTGACCAGCAGCTGACCGATATAGAGTAAAGTGCAGAGAAATCAATCGATTCGACGCCGGTTTCATACTTTTATTTGTTATTAGTTTGCGTTGAGCTCTGGTTCCATTCCCTGGCATGAAGACTTTGAAGCGGCCAGCCTTCTAGCGTTTATGAACTATCGACATCTCGACAATGATCGCATTGGACATTCGTATGCTGTGTCTGTGCATCTATTTGCTGGTGCGTGACACGACTAGTAGCGAAAGTAGCTCTAACGGAAGCGGATCTTTGTGGTCATCTTCACCATCTGCTTCCTCTTCTTCTCCTTGTCTGCAGGACGCCGATGTGTTTCAAATAATCATGAGGACGTACAACAGGCATCAGCTGCCTCAGGGTGTCAGACCAGTGCTGGTGACCATCGAGATAGACGTTCAGGACATATTCATGATCTACGATGAGACGACCGATTTCGAGCTGAGCATCTTCCTGAACGAGGAGTGGAACGACCGAGCGCTCGACTTCCGCCACCTTAATTCGTGCCGCGATCGCCTGGTTCTGCAAGGAGAACAGACGACGATGCTCTGGAGCCCGAACACGTGCTTCATCAACAGCAAATCGTCGCACGTCCACTACTCGCCGACCAAGAACGCGTGGGCGATCGTGTTCGCCAACGGCACGGTGTGGACCAAATACCGTATGTTCTTGTCCGGCCCATGCGACATGGACCTGTTCACATTTCCACTGGACCACGTCCGTTGTTACCTCACGTTTGAAAGCTTCACGTACAACACCGACGAGGTGATCATGCACTGGCGACAGCCGATTCCCGTACAGCTATCCCAGGAGGTGTGGCACGGCCAGACGCTGCAGTTTGACCCGAACGCGCCGATGAGGCCGTACACGCCGTCCATGTACCTGAACGAATTTTATCTCAGGAACATTAACGCCAGCAGAGTGGCCATGGTAAGGCAATGCTGCTCTGTTTCAACACATCCTCCATCCTTCCCCAACCTAATTCCACTACAGTAGTCGATGATCATAAAAAAATG